AAGCCCTCTTGGTTGTTGTGGGTGTTTTGCGTTTTTGTGTCTCAGGTGGTGGCTCTTGCCGTTCCAATCCCAGTCGTGACACTGGCTCCAAGCGTCTGTGCAACCCCCAAGATGAAGCCCCAGAGGGCTCCAATGCCCCCAAGCACAATGTCAAGACCACTGCCAGCAAGCAAAAGGAACCTGCTAAGGGCATGGACGAGATTTCTGTCTCTGAGTATGTCGAACACCGGAGGATCAATCCCTATGTGACTCCTCGGGTTGTGCTCAGAGGCACCGAGATGTTCTGGAACAAGCAACAGGTTCTCATCTATCTGGATGTGATCAAGAGCAAGCAGAATACCTTCATGGATGTCAAGTGGATAGACATGCATCACATGCGGAAGGACAAGTTTCGTGACTATTTTGGAGAGGCTCTGGACTTGGTGGAGCAATTTGCTATTGAGCCGGTGATCTCTTTTCACCATGACTATGACCCTGAGCTCATCTGTCAGTTCTTTGCCTCAGTGTACTTTCATCCTGGGGAGGAGCGGAGGATGACCTGGATGACCAACGGCCGTCAGCTGTCTGCTACATGGAAAGAGTTCATGGATCTGCTGCACATTCCTGATGACGGGCTTCACACCCCCGTTGGTGTTCGCCCCCATGCCAACTCTGAGTCTGCCAACAAGAACCTCCTTCAGCCTTTCCTTGTTGAGAAGGTGCTCCCTAATGGCAAATCAACTTGGGTATTGAACTCCTTTCTCGATATCATGCATCGCATCTTCCGCAACACTCTGTTCCCACGCATTGGCGACAAGGACAAGGTCCATGCATATCTAGTGGACATGTTGCTCCTGTGTGCAGAGGCACGTTCTTCTCAGACTCAGCCACTTGATGTCTCACACATCATGTGGTGTGAGCTTCGACTTGCGGTGTTCACTCGCAAGGTACCTATCTATGGACCGTACCTATTTCTGCTGCTCTCCACCACTTGGGAGAAGATGTACCCGGGTGATGAGTTCCTTGCTCCAGACTGGATTCTCCATGAGTCCATCAGCCTCCGCGTCAAGCCCAACTAGGCCAACACCACTCCCCGTGCTGAGGCCTCTTCTGCTAGGAGGGATGCTGGTGAGGAGGAGGCTGCTGCTGAGAATGTTGCTGAGGACCATGCTGCTAGGTCCACCACTCCTTCCTCTGAGCCGTCATGGGCCAAGAAGCTAAAGGACAAGATGAAGACTCTCTTCTGCATGCAGGCAAAGGGACAGTACAGGGCTCACGTGGCTGACAAGGAGAGTCGCCGCCGTGACAAAAAGGTTATGAGGCTCTTTGGAGAGGATGTGTCTGGCGGGTCTGAGGACATCATCACACCTGAGGCTGCCTGGATGTCAAAGCAGGGATACAAGTGGACCAGTTCAGAGGATGACTTCGAGGAGACTATCCCCGCCACTGAGTCTGACGAGGAGCACGAGGAGCAGTGGGACGACTTCTCTGCCTGAGCCACCCCGTGTGTGTAGGTGTCCTCTCTGCCTTTTTGGCGTCTCGATGCCAAAGGGGGAGAGAGTGTAGGGATTTGCGTTGTGTCATGCTTGGTGCGTTTATTTGCTTTGTCTTTTGGACCTCGTTTGTGCTTGTTTGCTCTTGTTTGGGTTGTGCTTTCGAGACCTTTCCACATATGGTGTAAGACATATGCACTTTATCTATCGTAGTTAACTTATGTTTGTGCTATCTTGTCTAGTGATAGATATGCCTTGTCTCTATAATATAGGGGGAGCTTTGATCCTAGTATTCATGTGTCGTGCAGTCCAAAGCACTCATCCGGGTGGCACACATCTAAGGGGAGCCCGTCTATATTCTAGAGAGGAGGGGTTTGCATTTACTTAATATTATTTTCCTTGTGCAAATCTCGTATTGTCATCAATCCACCAAAAAGGGGGAGATTGTAAGGGCATATTTATCCCTAAGTGTTTTGGTGATTGATGACAACGCATTTGCGGACTAATCGTGTGCCTTGAGTATTCCAGACACTTCATTGCTAGGCACAAGACGGTTGGGTGCCCCTCGAAGACTGATGAAGACGACGTCTTTTCTACGTTTCTTTTTGGTGGATTTGAGTCCTAGGAAAGCCGTACTATTAAGAGGGAGTCCGCATTGGAAAGGTTTGGGTGGAATCATCACGTACACGTCTCCTTCTTGTCTCCTCCTTTTCCTTGGAGCTTCCTCCATTTTCTTGTCTCCCTTGTCTGGCTGCTGTGGTTGGTCACGGTAGTACTGCTCCCAGGAAAGCGGTAGTACCGTAGGCATCCGCGGTAGTACCGCGCGGTGGCGCGGTAGTACCGCAGGTGCCCATGGTAGTACCGCTCCCCTGGAGCCGCACTACCGCTGCCCACCAGGCTAGTGCCGCCCCTTTGCGGTAGTAGGGGCGGATGCAATTTTTTACATCCGCACCTACCGCGGTAGTACCGTTTTCGTCGAGCGGTAGTACCGCGCTATGCAGTCAGGCAGTAGTACCGCCCCTCGGCGGTACTACTGTGTCGGGTTTTTGCTACTTCCGTTTCTTTGCGGAATTAGGCACGGATGTTCCCTTCCCCCTGGCTGGGGGTTTTTGCCTTGCGGTAGTACCGCATGGGGGGCGCGGTAGTACCGCGCGTGCGGAAGTACCGTCCCCAGCTCATGCGCGTCTGTTTATCTTTACTGTCGTTGGGGTTGCGGCAGTACCGTGGGTCGATACGGTAGTACTGCACAGCCGTGCGGTAGTACCGCACAGCCGTGCGGTAGTACCGCTTGGTTGCAAGCAGTAGTACCGCACGGCCTTGCGGTAGTACTGCTGGCCAGGCGCGGTAGTACGCTGGCCGCGGGCTGGTTGGTGGGTAACGGTTGGATCCTTTTCCCACACTATATAAGGGGTCCCCTTCTTCTCCGTTGACTTACCTCTTCCACCCCTAAGCTCCATTATTGCTCTAAGCTCCATTTTCGCCCGATCTCACTCCCTAGCCGACCAAACTTGTTGATTTGCTCGGGAGTGGTTGAGAAGGCCTCGATCTACACTTCCACCAAGAGATATTTGATTCCCTCCACTAATCCCTTGCGGATCTTGTTACTCTTGGCTGTTTGAGCATCCTAGATGGTTGAGGTCACCGCAAAGCCATAGTCCATTGTGGTGAAGCTTCGTGGTGTCGTTGGGAGCCTCCAATTAAGTTGTGGATATTGCCCCAACCTAGTTTGTAAAGGTTTGGTCGCCGCCTCCAATGGCACCAATAGTGGAATCACGACATCTCGCATTGTGTGAGGGCGTGAGAAGAATACGGTGGCCCTAGTGGCTTCTTGAGGAGCATTGTGCCTCCACACCGCTCCAACGGAGACATACTTCCTCTCAAAGGGAAGGAATTTCGGCAACACATCCTCGTCTCCACCGTCTCCACTCTTGGTTATCTCGTACCTTTACTTGTGCAAGCTTTTTGTTTCATATATCTTGCTTGCTTGTGTTCCTATCCTTGTTGCATCATGTAGGTTGCTTATCTAGTTGCATATCTAGACAACCTACTTTGATGTAAAATTTAAATTGTTAAAGAAAAGCTAAAAATTGTTAGTTGCCTATTCACCCCCCTCCCTTTAGTCAACCATATCGATTCTTTCAGCCTGGTTTGTGAATCCTTTTTTATGGATCGTGTGGCATCGTTGGATCCGTTGTACCGCCACATTGGGTGGGTACGTTGTTGGAGTGGTTGAAGTCTGCAGTCTATAGCAACGGCCATCACATCAATAATGGTAAGTTTGTAATGGCCGAGGAGTGTGACTTGGGCGGCCAATCGCTCGACTTCGGCATCCTCCTAGGTATGACTCCTCTGCCGCCAGTTGTATCTCTTTTTCAGCGGTGCAGGGGAGTAGGTGGGAAGCCCTTCTCGTACGGGATCTTCAAAAAGGACATCAGCTACATAAAACCACTCCGACTCCCATGTTTCGGCGTCCTCCTTCAGGGTGCTAGGCATGTAACCATTCACTTTCCCCTATTGTTAGACGACCATCAAAGATTGCCCTAAATTTAAAGAGCAATATGCCGCCCAAAAGAAGAATGGAGGGCCAACGGCCGTAGTTGAGCATGAAGGAGAGAAGCGACCGAGGGCAAGACCAACTCCAAGGTGGACGAGGAGCGTGATGCGGCATCGTTCGCCTTGCAACAAACTTTGCAAGGCATGATGACCCAAAAGAAAGCACGAGACGAGAGGAAGCGCCAACAAGAAAAGAGAAGCAAATGAAGGTCTACATCGAGTTCCAAACAAAGATGCTCGAGATGAAGGAGACCATCAAAAGGAGGAAGCTCGAGACTGAGGAGGCCGTCTAAACAAAGAAGCTCGAGACTGAAGCGACCAATGTTCTCATTGCGAAGGTGGTGATCATGGCGCTGGAGTTGAGAAGACGTCACTAAGGAGAAGGGTTTGGTTCGAGAAGAAACAAAAGCGATGCTAAATGACTGAGCTACGGCCAAGGGCAAGCTAAATTATTGATGAATACTTTGACGCTATGGCCGCGGCCTATTTCAGTTCTTAATTATTTGCTCCGGTGCCTGCGGCTGCAGTCGTGAGGAGTTGGCCTCAGTGGAGCAGCGCGCCGTTCTACATAGCAGTTGCGGATCGTATGCGCTCCTAATTAACGCAACCTAGGGGACTAGAAGCGGAAGCACGACAACAGCCACATAATTAACATCAGGCGGCAATTCAGAGTTCATACAGCATCAGCGACTCATATTATTAGATCACACGAAATTGCAGGTCATTTGACATCATTCTTAGAAAATCCCTCGACATAACAAGCAGCAACGCTGGTTCCATGATTCACGAGACAATATATTGAACAGCCAAAACCAACAAACGATGCATTATCCATGAGATCATGACTGCGGCTAAGACACAGATAGTAAATTAAGCAGAAGTACCAAGGCAGATATTACGCCTCAAGACAGTCAAAAAAAGAAGATACCACAGCCGTTTTACCAGAACAGAGGCCACTAAAACAAGATACATAATCTAGCTAGAGTAGCTGAACCCCGAGATCTTGTAGATGCGGATAGTTCCATCGGTGTAACCAGCATAGAGAGTGCTGCCATCCGCGCTCCAGCTCAAGCAAGTGCAGTAGAGCATCTGGGCAAACAGTATGAAGCATATTAAGAAGCACCCAACAGACGATAGATTTTAACTTAATGTAGCAACTCTCAAAATTTAAAATGAGTTCGTAAAAACAGAACCAGTTAATTTAGCTATGCATTAGAACAAATGCACAACAAGTGCCTGTGCTTCCTATAAGTACCTCGCTTGACAATACAATGCAGCCTTAAGTTAGATGGGCAGGCGGCACCAGGGAAGATGAACATAAAACATTTCATAACAATGTATGAAAAATAACCAACAGAACAAGCACATCCATGTACATTCCATGAATAAGAAAAGTACTGGTAGTGAACTTGCTATTTCTTTTTATGCCTGCATTAAAGCTCTTTATCAATTTGGCAACTTAAGTCAACCAGTTCTAGCTTAAAGAACAAAATAGCACAACTATGCAAGCTTTCAGCATGAAGCTAATACGTTGCAAATCATAAATTAGACTACCACAATAAATACAGATGATAGAATGTAACAGATCTACATAGCCACAAGGGTAAGCTGGTCATACAAACAACACATTTACGAATTAACCAATAGTAAACAATCAAAGAAACACGGAAATAAGGAGTGATAGTGGGAATAGGAAATAAACCTGCTTCGTGGAGACAGGGACCTCGGGCCTAAGGTCCTGCACGATGTGCTTTGACTCAAGATCCCAGATCTTGATGGAATCCTGTGTCGCCGCGCAGAGCCAGTAGCGGTTGGGCGAGAAGCAAAGTGAGTTGATAATGGATCCCGCATCCAGCGAGTAGAGTCTCTTGCCCTCGGTCAAATCCCACAGCAAGGTGACGCCATCCTTGCCACCAGACGCGCAGAGCGAACCGTCTGGGCTGACTGCGACGGCGCTAACATAGCCACCATGGCCATCAAGAGTGCAGCGGAGCTTGCAGTTGGTGAGGTTCCAGACCTTGACGGAGCGGTCCCATGAGCCCGAGACGATGGTCGGGGCGAAGTTGTTGGGTGAGAAACGGACGCAGGACACCCAGCCAGTGTGGCCCTCGCCGCCTCCGAGGTCACCGCCGATGGTGTACTTGCACTCACCGAGGGTGTTCCAGAGCTTGATGGTGCGGTCGCGGGACGCCGAGACGATCTGTCGGTTGTCAATGGAGAAGGCGACGGAGAGGACGTCCTTCTCGTGGCCGACGAAGCGGCGGGTGGTGACCCCGGTGGAGAGGTCCCAGAGGCGGAGCTCGCCGTCCCAGGATCCGGAGAGCGCGAACTGGCCGTCGGAGCTGAGGACGACGTCCTGGACGAAGTGGCCGTGGCCGGTGAGGCGGCGGAAGGGGACGCCGTACTCGGAGCTGGAGTCCTGGGTGGCCTGGATGGGGTTGGTGAGGTCCCAGACGAGCAGCGACTTGTCGCGGGAGGAGGAGACGATGAAGGGCGAGTTGTCGATGGGCGTCGCGATGGCCGTGACCACGTCGTTGTGGCCGCGCATCACGCCGGCGTACACGAGGGACTCCTGCGCTCCGGCCATGGTGGTGGGGCGGAGCGAGCGCTAGGGTTTTGGGGGTGCGGTGGAGGCGGCGGCGCAGGCTAGAGATGAGAAGGAAAGCGGGCGGAGAGGGAGGAGGAGTTTATAGTGGGGGCGGGCGTGAGGCGCTAGGGTTTTCGTGGATTAGTGGACTTTGTGCTCAGTTGAGCGGAAATCGTGACCGTCCGATGCACACCGAGAGGGATCTCTGGGCTGCACCCCAGGAGGCCCATTGCAAACGCTGCAGATCGTCTCACTTGCGCATGGGCCTATAGCTTACCATTCTCCTCTTCTCTGCCCCATGGGCCTAATCATCGCTACGGAGGGAAAAGGCAAGAAATGCTTTGGTCCTCTGCATGGGGCGGGAAATGCTTTGCTTCTATGCTCTTGCTTGGGTGAAACATTTAGGTGACCACCACAAGAAAATTCGAGCATAAGATGACTCAAGAAAAGGATCGCGTCATGACATATTAGTATTAGCAGCTACTCCTATCAACTAAGGGGATTTTTTATTAAAAGGATATTCATACAATTTTTTAAGAATTAGAATCCTTAAGGAGTTTTCCTATGTTGGTTATTTGATTCGTACAATTGAATCATATACATATTGTCCTAAGAAATTCTTTGCACTACATTTCATATAAAATCTTTAATTCACCCGGATATCCTGGAAAAAATCCTTAGTTTTCCGGGAATGTTAAAGAATTGACTTAAGTTTCTTTTTAAGCTTTCCCGGCGAACGCCTAGAATTGCCACGCGTAAACAAATAAAATTGTCATGATGTTCTAAGGGATTTGTTATGCTCTAAAGCGACAATTACCATGTACTTAGTACAGAAAACTGGCAGAAAATTCATCACGCTGCGCACAGTAACTGTCATGCGTTCAATTGGGATCTGACAGTCCGCATTCGCTGGGATTGCCTAAAAAATGACGTTCGCTGATAAGTGGTGTCCTTATTTTTTTTTCTATGGTGCAAGCAAAATCATGTAGAGTCCAATCGGACATCCCCATTGTTTTTGCAACCCTGCGAGGCTGCGACTCAATAAGGCAGTGTGGAGAAAGGATCCGTCTTTCTCAAGAAAGAACCCCATGAATGAAATCAAACCGGCGTTCTGCTCTGTGCTGTCCACGTCGCGGTGCCAAGGTGTTCGGAGACGGAGGATCACGATTCATGGAGAACCGGATGGGCGCTTGATGAGCACAGAGACAGAAACGGAGTCCTGATCCACCCCCAACCACGTCCGGTTGTCAGATCAACGAAGTAATCACTCGTTGCCGTGGTCGAATGGCAGGGAAAGGGACGTTTCACAGCGGCTCTCGGCCGTTCGTTCCCTGATTGATTGCAGCGGGTCAGCTAAGTGCACAAGTTACCAGGGCAGGGAGGGCCGTGAATCTTGCAAACATGCTCGCCGATGAACGGGATCGATTTTGTACCCCATGAAATTTGGTGCTTTGGCGGCAGCACAAAGGCAGGATCGGTTTCCCAACAATCATGCCAACTCCCAGGTACTTTTCCAGAGCATCTCTGAGTTGGGTTAGCTACCTCCTTTCTCTATCTATGGAAACAAATTCGTCTCCAATCTGTCTATCCTACTATAATCAGGAAACTAATCAACAGGGCACCGTCTATACAGCGGTGGACGAGATAAAAAAGGAACATTTCATTTCACAGATAAGGCAAATGAGGGCCTATCTATCCATCCCGCACTGACGGGAGCAGACAGGTACCCTATCTTGTAGGAGTGCCCAACAAAAAAAAACAATAGTCAGTTACCGGCGGGACGGGACGCCCTGCGAAGATCCGCGGCGCGAATCGCGAGGCCGCCATCAGGTGATTCTTCTCAAAAGAACCAAATAAAACGCAACGGAGGCCAGTAGCGGAGGGCCACCTAACCCATCGATCTCTTGCTTCTCTACTGGATGTTTGGGATCTCCATGTCCCGCCCTGCAAGCGTCCCCCTGCCCTGCTCCTCCCAAGCCCTTCTCCCCTTCTTGATGTTGTTGGCCTGCCTCTCCTACTCTCCTCTTCCTCCTCCCCCCCTGCCGCTCTCCTGGTGGCTTGCATATCATATCCTCCCTCCATTCTTCCTTTCTTCACTCAAGCCAAGCTCTTTGCTTCTTGGGGTTGCCATGCCTCATAATCTCATTCTCGCGGCTTGAGAAAAGATCGGGCCTTGCCTTTTCCAGCTGCACCGGCTTGCTTGGCGCGGCCTTCGTCCCATTTGCACCCCCTCCCCAGGTAACATGCAGTTCATGGCCCTTTTCGTGTACCTCCGTGCCTGCCTCCGTGCATGGGCGCATGGCTCTTTTAATTAGCTCCTTTCTGTAAGCAAAGGGGATGTCTGGTGGAATGGAAAGACGCTTCAAAAGAGCTGCCTTTCCTGCCATCTCGTGTCATGTTCGTGGCATGATTCTTTGTCATGTGGTGCGACTTAACATGGATTGCGTGCGTGGTCTTTGTTCCGGACAAGCTCCTTTTCGATATAGCGTCCCTGAAAAATCATGGATGCTTATGTTATCCACAGCTGTGTTTCAATCGGCAAGGCCATTGATCCGAGGATGGCGGACCACTTCGCGCTCATGACGGGACGGATGATCACGGAGGCGACGCTTCAGGGCGCCATCTTCGATGCCCCTTCCGCGAAGGATGCTTGTGATCATCATGATCCTTCTATTTTTGAGGACGGGAGGACCAAGACTGGTGTCATGGTGGAATGCAGAATCTGCCAAGAAGAAGGTGATCAAGCCTACATGGAGACCCCTTGCTCCTGCAAGGGTAGCCTCAAGGCAAGGCTTTCTGCTCCTCTCCCAGCTTGATCATTCCATATGCTGTCAAATTATCCTTGGTTGTTCAAAGTCTGAGCACCAGAAATAACCTCAAGTTGAAAACCCGCTTATTATTACCTCGTCCATCTTCAACAATGGAACAGAGGTCGCTTTCGTATTAGATACGTCCATATCAAAATGCCACCGGGAACACAAATTTCTATTTCTGTCTTCCATACCACTATCAGTGAATTATTTCTTCTCTGTTATCGGAACCAAATCGGATTTTTCGAGGGATTCTATCCTTGTGTCGATAGAATCATGATTTTCATGTAGATTCGACCACCCTTTTATTTTTTCCTAGCAGATGCCCATTTAATCCTGCCAGCCAACAGAGGTTTTACTTGAACTAGTTTGTTGCTGCCTGCAGTACGCTCACCACATATGCATCCAGAGGTGGTGTAACGAGAAGGGAGACACCATATGTGAGATATGCTTACAGGTGAGTAATTCTCAACGGAAACCAGAAAGAAGCAGCTGAGTTCAGTTTGCCCTTTACTTCCCTGTAAAGCCATCATCAGTCTTCAGTGCCAAAAGATAGTTTGTTGACTAATTTCTTGTCTTTGCTACCTATGGCACAGCAATTTACACCAAACTACAGTGCCCCTTTGAAGTTGTTTCGGATCGGAAGAAACCAAATTAGCTTCAGGTGTCACTTGGTGCTTAAGATCCTTGGTAATATTTTCATCCAAGAAGGGCCTATCTGACATCCTAGGCCCTCTCTTCTCACTGCAGGAGAGCTGGAGGAACACCAGAGAATCTCAACGCTGGAGAAAACGTTTCCCAAACCGCTGATCATGCTGCCGGCACATCAAGCTTTGACTCTCAATTTTGCAATCCAAAAGGCGTCACCTACTGCCGTGTGATTGCCATCGCCGTAAGTGCTATAGAATGTAAACCTTCCATGCATCTGGCACGAGTACTCATGCTGCAGCCAACTAACGCATATGTGGTCCGAAACATGCACCTTCAGTTGATGGCTCTGCTGGTGCTCCGTGACGCAATCTCGCTTGTCCTCGGCGGCCCCGAGGTGTACTCGATGGCACTGATCACTGTAAGAGTCTGAATCATGTAACCTGATTAGATCTTTCTATTTTCTTACCCTGAATGTGATTCATGGGCAATTCTGATATGGATTGCGTTGATGAGACAGCTGCTGATGTTCAGAACAGCCGGAGTTGTCATACCCATCTACATTATCTTGATATCAGTTGTCACATTGCTCCATCGGTACAGTCAACACCAGGTCTGTCTTACCCATGTCCAGTCACGTATCTAAAAAACCTCGGTTTCAATCAGAATGTAATGTTTTTATGCTAATGCAGGATGTGCATGGCGCAACGCCAGTTACAGAACCTGTAGGAATTGAGGACACAGAGAGCCTGCCGCCGACGCCACCTCAACAGCATGTCATCAGCATCCAGTAGCAAGCTGCACAAGGAGAATGGTGGTTAGGTTCTGTCAAATATTATTAGTCTCATTGGATGAAGTTAGCGAGATCGACGCTGGCTGTCATAGGATACAGAAGATGCAAAATCATTGCAAGTGTAAAGATGTTCCGTAGAATTGTACACAAAGCATATACTAGGAACAACACACTTGACTTAACAAGTCATGGAGATGAGAAGTGAAATTGAAGTGGGCATGTGTATATAAAGTTTAAGAAACCCTAGGCAAGTGTGAGTGAGTGTACAGGCTTTCCAACATTCATGGCAGTGAAAATTTTGTGCCCAGCCACAGAAGACACCAGGCACTAAAACGTCTGTATTCTCTTTGGAAAAAGCAGGGAAACTCTGTATGAAAATAGGCAAAAGTTCACGGTTACATAAATAATACAGTACATCATGTCCCTCCTGTTCGTTTACACAACACAAAAATTGCTTCATAAGTGTTCTCTTACTCTCTGTCCTTGTAAACTGGAAAGGACTGCCAGTATAGGCTACAACAACAACCTAAGGATAAAATTGAGCTACAACATAGAGAGAAAAACACTCTTAAGCTGGCCTTTCACGCCCGTTGGAAAGCCAAGGTGCACACTTGAGACCCCTCAACTCCGCCAAACATGATGGTAGGATACGTTTGGACATGATCCAAGTATCGGAAGATCTGGTGCGAATCACCTGCACCTCTGTCTGTGTCCTCCTTACCAAATTTCCGCATACCGAACTCTTCTACTTCTTGCAGAAGCTCATCCTTTGTGTGATTACATGATGTTATGACCTGAAGACATAAGCATAAGTTTCAATTCTACAGGACTGGTGTAAGATAAGAGTTTCAGAGAGTTTGCACGGAGAAAGTACTGACCACAAGGCCACCTGGTTCAACCAAGTTTGATATAGATTCCCAATACATCACTCTGAAGCAAAGAAAAAAAAACACCATAAAGAGAACAATGTTAACTCAACGTGGTACTGATTATTGAATCATACTTGAGATATCTTTAACATAGACTTCTTGTGTATTGGAACCGCATACCCCATTAACCTATCCTGTATGTGCATATACCACAACCACAACAACAACAACAACAACAACAACAACAACAACAACAACAACAACAAAGCCTTGTCCCAAACAAGTTAGGGTAGGCTAGAGGTGAAACCCATAAGATCTCGCGACCAAATCATGGTTCTGGCACATGGATAGCAAGCTTCCACGCACCCCTGTTCATGGCTAGTTCTTTGGTGATACTCCAATCCTTCAAATCTCTCTTTACGGACTCCTCCCATGTCAAATTTGGTCTACCCCGATATCTCTCGACATTATCCGCACGCTTTAGCCATCCGCTATGCACTGGAGCTTTTGGAGGCCTGCGCTGAATATGCCCAAACCATCTCAGACGATGTTGGACAGGCTTCTCTTCAATTGGTGCTACGCCAACTCTATCCTATATGTGCATATACCACATTGCAATGAAATATAACTCACTGGTTGAGTTGTTAAAATAACACGGTGTGCTGGTAAGCAGTGAAACTCAGCTATCTACTGCACTATGCAGATCTGAAACTAAACTAAATTGAAAGTCGGGCTCATACAGCCTAAAGCCCTAAAGGCTAAAGCTATGCTATTCACTATTACAGAATGCCAACAAATAAAAACTATCCAGATAGGAGACCTAATTTCCAGATTTCTAGCTATTCCAACTCTAGTATGCAAAATTTGCAGGTTCTTGTTAGATAATCAAATCTCACAGAACATGTCAACAATATTTAATTCCACAGGCTAAAAGGAAATTTTAAGGGGGTGGCTAACCAAAGAATGACCGAGTCGTAGTTCTTGTACCTTTTTGCACGGCCATCTGGATGCAATCCAATGGCATCCAATGTCCCTTTATCTGTAATAATTTTGAATTTCCTGTCTAACTTTGTCTCAAGTACATCATCGACCTGGTGGAGACAGAAATATGAGTTACTACAGTCGTCAAAACACCATAACTGTAAGTACTTAATAACCATTTGATAAGGGCATCTCCTACTGCCCTCCCCAAACCTGCCCCATTTGTCAGCCCGGACAGTCAGGACTAAAAAAAAAATACAGCCCAGCAGGCCTCCCCAAACCTCTCCATTTGTCTGGACTGTCCAGACCGCCCCAAACCCAGCCTACATATGGGGAGGATATGGGGCTGTATGGACATGTCCGCAATGTCAGCCCAAACCCTGGGCCTATCCCAAAATCAACAAAAAAAAATGTCCGCCCCCAAATCTAGCTCACTTTCCTCAGCTCGCCGCCCCACCTCCATCCACCATCGCCATGTCTGGATCGGTGGACGACGGCATCGATTGGGAACTCTTGGAGGCAGAGGACAACGAGGACCTTGCCTTTCGCCAATCGAGGGTCGAGACCCAAGGCTGTCTGTCGTCCCCTCCACCCCGGCACGGGTGAAGTGGCAGTGGACCATCATCGCCGCCCACCGTCCCCGCCGCGGCGCAGTTCGAGCTCCGTCCCCGGCTGCCCGGCACGGGTGGAGCAACGGTGGTCGAGCTCGTCCGAGGCGGCGCCATGGCCCTCCCGCTGGGCGGATCCAGCTCGCGCTGTGTGTTCGGCTTGCACAACACGTCCTTCTCCTCCGCTCCAGTACCCATGCCATCCTCGTCCGAGGACGAGCAGGTGGTCCACGGCATCCTTTGATGCTCCTTGGCCACGAAGGAGTCTGCCACCTGCCGCCGTCGGAAGAACGCGAAGGCGCTCTGGGAGGGTATCAAGGCTTCGCAATGTGAAGCTGAAAAGGCCGCCCGAGCCAAAGCCCTCGCCAATAACAAGCCCGCGCCGCCAGAGCCCTCGCCGGACAAGGATTCTGATAACCCCTACGACGCATTCATTCACCTCCACTTCAGAAAACACCTGTGAAGTGTTGATTGTCCTACTGCTATATCCTATGGCTTTGGAATATGTGTTGTCTCACGGCTATGTCCTATGTCTTTGAACTATGTTGTACGAACTTGTCCTATGTCCTATGTCAATTGGTTGTGCTAAGAGCAAGTCCAGTTATGGAGGAATAGCAGTAGACAAATGATTAACAAAGAGTTCACCAATTTCAAGAAAAAAAATGCATGCATGGCAAGTACAGAGTTGAATATCTTTACACTCACAAAGTGAGCCTTTGAATATACATGCAAACTACCACTAGATATTTGATTTCTTCAGTATGTTTGCTCAATTCATGGCAATTGATTTTATTTTATGTGGTGGAGCTTTAGGGCTGAATACATTTTCTTCCCGGTAAACTGCACTTTTTGTTGACATTATCTGCCACCAACTGGATACTGTATCTGCTATGACGGAAAAATAGTATACATTCCCCTCGTTTATGGTAAACAAGGCGACTTGGGTAAACAAACTATGTAGACTCTTAAGTGTTTGTGCTTTTCTACAAGATGCAAAGATGCTTCTCATTTAGCTAAGACTCGTCGAGACTAGTGAAAGTAGCTATTGTTATCATATGCTCTTTCTTTTTTAGGCTACAGAATATGTAAGAACATGTTAATTACAGTTAAGAAATTTAGAATATAATAACAAAGTGTAGACTTCGTAGACAAATATACAAATATAAGAGGACTTCCATCTGAATACAGTATACTGACCAAAAAACTTATAGTAGTGAACCCATCACGAGCAGCAAGGTTTCTTGCAAGTTCAATGGCTCCTTCACTGTAATCAGTTCCTGTTAAATCTGAAAACCTGAAAAACGAAACTATTCATTCTTTTGCAAACATATGATCTTCAAAATCATAATAAGGGCGACTTTGGCGTTAACAGTGGCTTCCAAAAGCACTGCCTCACTTTAATAAAAACGGAAATATTTAACTAGAACTGAGAACAGGTATTTCGGAAGTAGTCTATTCAGTTCTTAGAAAGTTAGGAATACATTAAAAAAAAACATTGCTCTGCGCACATAATTCAAGCAAAACAATTGTATTAACAAACTATGCAACATGATGACATCATTTCTTAAGTACCATAGTATTAAATTAGCGTAATTAATTCAATAAACCTTTACTGTGTATAATGGGTATAAACAGGAAAAACATATTTAAGATTACTCATTGTCTGTACCCCTGCTTGGCAAGTGCTTGCAGAAGGAGGCCGTTGCCAGTTCCAAGATCGAGCACGGGGTAGTCAAACAAGTGTTTATCATCAACTTCAAATTTGATGTTGTCATTAGCCGATGAAAGTCCACCTTGGAAAAAGCTTACACACAATTTTTTTGTCCAAATGGCAACAGTATCCATTACATCTGCACCAAACCTACCAAAATAGAAATATTGTGCTCAGTAGCAACGAATAATAAATAACTCAAGCATTCGATATACTCCGCGAAATAGCACTGGGAACCTTAAAGTATCAATGAAGAATTCAATATTTTCTACAAAATCTCCAGTATTATGTCAATTGTCAATTACGTAAATAAGTGGGTTTTGGTGTGAGTACGTGCCTGTACTCCAGATTCTAAGTTTGAGGAACCAAAAATGAAAAAGTGAGTATGCATGCTCAATGGCTCACTTACATTTTTCTAATGCATGCACTATGTCTATAATACAGATGAACAACGGCTTCATGAAAAAAATTAGTTGATAATGAAAGAAGAATAAGAATAATAAAGTTTGTATTTAACAAAAAATAGAGCTAACATTTTATAATCTGCACTATACAAATTCCAAACAATAAAAACAGTTACATTGTAAAACCAATTAGTGACAGCCTTTTGGCTTTCTTGTAGTAACCGATATGACGTCATGTGATTTTTCTATACAAAATTAGACACTTTCAATCAATATAAAAGAACCTAAAATTTAATTACCATATTTCTCCAGCATGGCCGTGTTCCTGAAAATTTGCGAGATCTTCAGAATAAGAAGCATCCCAATAACTTTGTAGCCCCAACATTGAGCCTTCCTCATTAGGATCTTGGTCATCTTTGTCAGAACTGCCTCGACAGAAGGGTATTTTAGAACATTTTTATGAATTATTGAGAAAATTATACAAATAACAGGCTAGCGAATAGAGTTTTTTTTCTTGTCAAATACATTAATTTGAAGTTGTCGTACAGTTTTATTATTTGGACAACATGTTCACCTACCTTAGTACAAGATAAGAAAATTGTTATATTTTAGGTCTGAATACACTTATGCTAATCCCGTGGTGGAGTGATAACATGACACACATTTTATGAATTTCCCACCTTTGTTCATAGCTATACTTAATTAGAAAGTGCATAATGCAAAATGGTAAGCATAACAACCATAATTAGAAACTTTTCTTGGTGGCTATTTATCCACTATGTTCTTCTCATGGCCATTCCAAACTCATATCTATGATAGTTTAGTCGTGCTTCTATTTTGTTTATTGTACTTTAGTTACATGAAAGTAAGGACACCCTTATATTTATATTTAATACTCCCTCTGTTCACAAATTTAATATGTCTAACTTTTTTCTGAATCGGATGTATACAGACACATTTTGGTGTGTTCGCTCACATTTCAGTCCATATGTAGTCCATATTGAAATATCCAAAACTTCTTATATTTGTGAACGGAAGGAGTATATGATTGAGCCATATGGCAAACCCTGCACCAAAACTCTAAAAAACTCCATACAACTATCTTTTATCTAGATTTTTCTACCATTTGCAACGAGTAATGGTAATAATTTATTCTAGACCATTCATGAAAAATATCTAAACCCCTTTAAATTTCTCCAGAGCTTTGATCTAATATCACCTATAGCAGGCATCTTGATCTTTTTGAGGGCTTACGAATATTCTAGAATGTTATGTATGCATCGCATACTCTTACAGTCACCCCATACTGAAGCTAGAGGAACATTATTATTTCCTGCACAAATCAGTAGATCTACGTTTCAAACTCAGCTAATTTGCATAAAGAAAGAGCGAGGAGTACCAGTAATCAGAGGCAGCGGAGGGGAAGTTCCCGGCGGCCGCCGCCGCGGCGAGCACATCGGCAGCGTCGGCGTAGCGCTGGTCATCGTCTAGCGTGCTCCCGTACTCGCTCCGCACGGACCACGAGTCCGCTGCCACTGACCGCTCGTCGTCCGAAGCCATCTCCAGGCCACCGCTGCCGCCGCCGCCCGCTGTGACGCCGGAGCCGGCGACGGGGAGCGGCAGCTGGGGGCGGGGCGGAGTGCCCTGCGGCAGCTCAGGCTCCTCGGGCGTCAGCCTGATTCCAGCCATGCGGATCGGGCGGGAGATCGCGGCGAGGGGCACGGTGGTACCGGGGTTAGAACTTGGACAGGGAAGCGGCTTGAATTTTAGCAATGCTTGGAGTGGCGATTTGTAACTCGGTCACTTTTGTAGACGGCGGAATGGAATGGTCGCTTGCACAACGTCAGAGCATCTCTAGCTCCGGTACTAGGTTCCGGCAAAACAGATCCGGTAAAATGCGTTCTGCAAATTTAGCAGGTTCTAATAAAGCAGATCCGGTAAATTGTGTTCTGCAAATTTAAAAGCATGTTCGCCCTATAAGTAGTTTTGCCACACAATCATAGTTCGTACATAGCAAATACATATTGTTGATATTAACCCACGTGGAAAGATGAACTTCAAAGAAAAAAGATAGCTCCCAACTCAAGCACTTGGAAAGTTTAACTACATGATGATGTCAACAACAAAATTCAACGAGTCCTTGATACGTCTTCAACGTATCTACTTTTTCTAACGTTTTTGCTTTTGTTTTAAATTTTAATTTGCATGATTTAAATGAAACTAACCCGAACTGACATTGTTTTCACTAAAACTATCATGATGTTGTTTTTGTGCAGAAATAAAAATTCTCGGAATGAAACGAAACTTTCTGAAGAATTATTTTACAATAAAAAAATACTGGAGCCAAGAAACACCGGAGGGGGGGTCCCTGGTTGAGCACAACCCACAAGGGCGCGTTCAGGTGGATTGTGCCCACCTGGTGGCCTCGCAGACCCTAATTCCAACTCCTTAAATACCTATTTTTTGAAGAAAAAAAACAGGAAGGAAGAATTATCTCGTTTCATGATACGGAGCCGCCGCCACCTCCTGTTCTTCATCGGGAGTGAATCCTGGATCTTCGTCATCACCAATCCTCCTTCATCGACAATTCCATGATACTCCCCATCGGGAGTGAGTAATTCATTTGTAGGCTCGTTGGTCGATGAGTAGTTGGATGAGATTCATCATGTAATCGAGTTAGTTTTGTTAGGGCTTGATCCCTAGTATCCATTATGTTTTGAGATTGATGTTTTTATGACTTTGATATGCTTAATGCTTGTCACTAGGGCCCGAGTGTCATGATTTCAGATATGAACCGTTTATGTTTTCACCATTATATCTATGTTCTAGATCCGATCTTGCAAGTTATATGCACCTGCTACGTGTTATGACCCGTTAACCCCGGGGTGACAATAATCGGGATACTTTTCAGTGATGACCGTAGTTTGAGGAGTTCATATATTCACTATGTGTTAATGCTTTGTTTCAGTTCTTTATTAAAAGAAAGTCTTAATATCCCTTAGTTTCCTTATGAACCCCGCTGCCACGGGAGGGTAGGACAAAAGATGTCATGCAAGTTCTTTCCATAAGCACGCATGACTATTTACGGAATACATGCCTACATAATATTTATGAACTTAAGCTAGTTCTATATCGCCCTAGGTTATGACTGTTATATGATGAATATCATCCAACGAATTCACTGATCCAATGCCTACGAGTTTTTCACATATTGCTTCTGCTAAGTTACTATTTGAAAGTGCGTTATATCGACTAGAGGGGGGTGAATAGGCGATTTTTATGAAAGTCTTCAAAACGTGGGAGTTATGAAGACAAACAGTAGAGATATGCCTATTACTATGCAGCCGAAGTTAGACTACACTAGGCAAGCCATGGTCAAGTATCAACAGAGTGAAAGCACAGTGACAAATAGCTGTAGTGTAATAAGGATCAGGTAGGAAGATACTATGAAGCCAAACAGATCATACACTCACGTTGTGAAGACAAAAGATAGAACAGACACGCAATGACTTCACAATGAGTGATCAGTAAGTAAAAGGAAGTGAAGATGAAACCAGTGACTCGTTGAAGACAATGATGTGTTGGACCAGTTCCAGTTTCTGTGACAACTGTACGTCTGGTTGGAGCGGCTAGGTATTTAAACCTTAGGACACACAGTCCCGGACACCCGGTCCTAAACACGCAGCTCAGGACACCAAGTCCTCACCATATTCTCCTTGAGCTAAGGTCACATAGTCCTCGCCCAATCACTCTGGTAAGTCTTCAAGGTAGACTCCCAAACCTTCACAGACTTCGTTCACTAGCAATCCACAATGTCTCTTGGATGCTCTGAACGCGACGCCTAACCGTCTGGAGGATGCACAGTCCTCAAGTGTAATAAGTCTTCAGATCACACACACACAAGAAGACTTAAGTGATGCCCAATGTTCTCTGGCTCTGGGTGGTTAGGGCTTTATCCTCGCAAGGAATTCTCTCTCAAAGGCTTCGAGGTGGGTTGCTCTCAAACGACAAAAGCCGTACTCTCAATCTGAGCAGCCAACCGTTTATGGTTGTAGGGGGTGGGCTATTTATAGCCACTTGGCAACCCAACCTGATTTGTCCGAAATGACCCTAGGTCACTAAGGAACTGACACGTGTCCCAATGGTCAGATTTCAAACTCACACGGCAACTTTACTTGGGCTACAAGCAAAGCTGACTTGTCCGACTCTAGACAAGATTCGCTCTCATTGTCTTCACTCGAAGACATAGGTTTTTGGTTTAGGCATCACTTCAGTCATTCTGACTGGTTCTCCTGGACCCCACTTAACAGTACGGTGGTTCCTATGACTCAACACAAAAGAAAAAGAACTACGAAAGATCCAAGTCTTCGAGCTCCATAGGCTTCATATCATGTCTTCTCTTGTCATAGTATTCAATGTGAATATGTTCATATACCACCTTTGACTTCAATGTCTTCGTACATTTTTAGGGGTCATCTCTGGTAGTAAAACCGAATCAATGATGGACTTCTACCTGTGTTATCCTGCAATTCTCACAAACACATTAGTCCCTCAACTAGGTTTGTCGTCAATACTCCAAAACCAACTAGGGGTGGCACTAGATGCACTTACACTATTGTTATTACTACTGTCACAACTGTTACAAAATCATTGCTATCACTGTTACCATTACTATTATTGTTACCACTTCTATCAAAACTATCATACTACTGTGCTACTGATTATCTGGCTGCAGATATTTAATCTCCAGGTGTGGTTGAATTGACAACTCAACTGCTAATACTTACAAATATTCTTTGGCTCCTAATGACCCACAAGGAGGGATCTATCGTAGTCTTTTCGATAAGTAAGAGTGTCGAACCCAACGAGGAGCAGAAAGAAATGATAAGCAGTTTTCAGCAAGGTATTCTCTGTAAGCACTAAAATTATTGGTAACAGATAGTTTTGTGATAAGGTAATTTGAACAGGTAACAAGTAATAAAAGTAAATAAGATGCAGCAAGATGGCCCAATCCTTTTTTGTAGCAAAGGACAAGCCTGGACAAACTCTTATATAAAGGAAAAAGCTCTCGAGGACACATGGGAATTATCATCAAGCTAGTTTTCATCACGTTCATATGATTCGTGTTCGGTACTTTGATAATTTGATATGTGGGTGAACCAATGCTTGGGTACTGTCCTTCCTTGGACAAGCATTCCACTTATGATTAACCCCTATTGTAGGCATCCGCAACTACAAAAGAAGTATTAAGGTAAACCTAACCATGGCATGAAACATATGGATCCAAATCAGCCCCTTACGAAGCAACGCATAAACTAGGGTTTAAGCTTCTGTCACTCTAGCAACTCATCATCTACTTGTTACTTCTCAATGCCTTCCTCTAGGCCCAAATAATGGTGAAGTGTCATGTAGTCGACGTTCACATGACACCACTAGAGGAAAGACAACACACATCTCATCAAAATATCGAACGAATACCAAATTCAAATGACTACTTATAGCAAGACTTCTCCCATGTCCTCAGGAACAAACGTAACTACTCACAGATCATATTCATGTTCATAATCAGAGGGGTATTAATATGCATAATGGATATGAATATATGATCTTCCACCGAATAAACCAACTAGCATCAACTACAAAGAGTAATCAACACTACTAGCAACCCACATGTACCAATCTGAGGCTTTGACACAAAGATTGAATAAAAGAGATGAACTAGATTTTGAGATGAGATGGTGCTGGCGAATATGTTAATGGAGATTGACCCCCTCCCAATGAGAGGATCATTGGTGATGATGATGGTGATGATTTCCCCCTTCCAGAGGGAAGTTTCCCTGGCAGAACAGCTCCGCCGGAGCCCTAAATTGGTTCCGCCTCATGGGGCTTGCTTATGTTTTTTTCCTCGATGAAAGACTCCATATAGCCAAAGATGGGCATCAAAGGGCTTCCAGGGGCCCACGAGGCAGGGGGCGCGCCCCCACCCTCGTGGACGGTGGGTGGCCCCCTCTGGTACTTCTTTCGCCCAATATTTTTTGTATATTCTGAAACTTGCTCCCATGAGGTTTCAGGACTTTTGGAGATGTGCAGAATAGGTCTCTAATATTTGCTCCTTTTCCAGCCCAGAATTCCAGCTGTCGGCATTCCCCCTCTTCATGTAAACCTTGTAAAATAAGAGAGAATGGGCATAAGTATTGTGACATGATGTGTAATAACAGCCCATAATGCAATAAATATCGATATAAAAGCATGATGCAAAATGGACGTATCAACTCCCCCAAGCTTAGACCTCGCTTGTCCTCAAGCGAAAGCCGAAATCAAAAAATATGTCCACATGTTTAGAGATAGAGGTGTCGATAAAGATAAAATGCGAACATGAGGGCATCATGATCATTCTTAAAACAACAACATATACATATATTGTCATATGATCTCTTATGCTAAAGTAACAATCCAATCACAATTTCAAGTATGAATCATAAACTTCATTGAGAACTAACAAACTATAATCTCAGTCATTGAAGCAATTGCAATTTATCATAACATCGGAAAGAGTCAATATAAGAGCTTTTCAGCAAGTCAACATACTCAACTATCATTTAGTCTTTCACAATTGCTAACACTCACGTGCACGCAATATTTATGGGTATGAAGTTTTAGCCAGACACAGAGAAAGATAGGGGCTTATA